ATTTGTGTTTTTTGGTGTTAAGTTCTTTACATATTTTGGATACTAACCATTTATTGGATATATCATTTGCAAATATCTTCTCCCATTCAGTAGGTGATCTTTTAGTTGTGGTGGTTATTTCCTTTGCTGTGCAGAAGCTTTTTATTTTTATGTAGTCCCGATATTTTAGTTTTGTTTTTCTTTCCATTGTCTCAGGAATATATATTTATAATAATATATTTTAGATATATTATAATATAATTGTGGGTTTATTTCTGGGCTTTCTATTCTGTTCCACTGATCTACAGAAATCTGTTGCATTTCCATACAACTAACAATGAAGCATCAGAAAGAGAAATTAAGAAAATAATCTTATTGACAACTACACCAAAAATAATAAACCACTTAGGAATAAATTTAACCAAAGAGGTGAAAGACCTATACTCTGAAAAGTATAATACATTGATGAAATTGAAGGTGACACAAACAAATGGAAAGACGTTGCATGCTTATGGGTTGGAAGAACAAATGTTGTTAAAATGTCTATACAACCCAAAGCAGTCTACAGATTTAATTCAATACCTGTTAAAATACCAACAGCTTTTCCACAAAGCTAGAATAAATAATCCTAAAATTTGTATGCAACCACGAAAGACCCCGAATAGTCAAAGCAATCTTGAAAAAGAAAAATAAAAGTGGAGATATCACAATTCCAGACTTCAAGTTATATTACAAAGCTGTAGTAATATAACTGATCTTTGAATTCTGCTATCTAAACGCCACTTCTTTATCTTTCCTCCACTCATTTAGTATTGATTCAGTTAGTATTTGTCAAGTACCTACAATGTGCCAAGCATGGTTCTAAACAATTGGGAATTGTCAATGAACAATAGAGACAAAGACCACATCAGTCCTTAAGATGCTTACATTGTAGTGGGGGAATAGGAACAATTAAAGAGAAATCTAGTAAACATAATGAACAGGTACATTATATAGAATGTTAGAAAGTGATGAAAGATATGACAGAGTAGGATAATGGGGATAGAAACTGTTGGGCTGGGCATAGTAGGTAGGCTGCAATATTATATAGGTTGGTCAGGGTAAATGTCCTCAAGAAGATGAGATATGAGCAAACATTTGAAAAGAATGAGTTAGCAAATGAATGGCTATAATAGGGCAATACAGGCAAAGGGAAAAAGAGAAAAGTTCTAAGGCAAGGGAATGGCTGATGGTTGTAAAGAATAGCAAGGAGCCAGCTGGTGCTATCTGAGCAAGCAAAGGAATGTACTATAGTAGTGGCAGGTAATGTCAGACAAGTAACAGGTGATGAAATTAGGTCAAACCTGTAGCCACTCTAAGGACTTTGGCTTTTGCTCTGAATGAAATGGGGAAAGGTAAATCATTTCTGGGTTTTGAGAAAAGGAATATTATGATCTTATGCTTTAAAATATTCACACTAGATGCTGTGTTGAGAAAAAAAAAGTAGGGAGACAGGATAGAAACAAGCCTGTAAGGATACTGTATGATCAACAAAGTCAAGATATAATGTTAACTTGGACTCATAGGAGAACACTGGCAGTGATGAAAAGTGCCCAGATTCTGCATGTGTTTTGAAGGTAGTGTCCATATTACTTCCTCAGGAATTGGGTAGAGGATTTAAAAGTAAAACAGAAAGAATAAAGGGTGCCTAGGTGGCTCAGTTGGTTAAGCATCCAACTTTAGCACAGGTCATGATCTCAGAGTTTGTGGGTTTGAGCCCCATGTCAGGCTCAGCATGACAGCTCAGAGCCTGGAGCCTGATTCAGACTCTGTGTCTCCCTCTCTCTCTGCCTCCCCCACTTGTGTTTTCTCTCTCTCTCTTTCTCTCTCTCAAAAATAAATAAACTTTAAAAAAAAAAGAAGGAATAAAATATTGCTCAGTTTTTTAGTCTTAGCAAGAGGAATGATGGAGTTTTATAAAATGAGATGTGGAAGGTTGTGGATGTAAGAGGTCTTTGAGTTAGAGGGAGACCAGAAGATAGATTTGAACATGTTGAGTCTAATATGTGTATTAGAAAACCAAGTGAAGATGTTCACTTGGCATTTAGAATATATGCATCTGACATTTGGGTGATAGATCTGAGCTAGAGATGTAAAATTGGGTATCACTACAAAGCAGATAGCATACAAACCACATGAATGGTTAAGATTAACAAGGGAAGGATTATAGACACAGACAAAGACCAAAAACTGTGTACTACAACTTTCCAGTATTAAGAGACTGAAAAGTAAAAGGGGATTAATATGTAAGATTGAGAAGGAGTAACCAATGAAATAGAACAGAAGGAAAAAGAGAGGGCAGGATCCTGCAAGTCCAGTGATGAAGGCATAGCAAGGAGAGAGAGCAAGTGCATCAAATCCTACTGATAGGTCATATAAGATGAGGACTATGAATTGCCATGATAAGTTTATATTGCTAAAGATACAACATATGTTCATAGAAGATATAGTACATTTATTGCTTTCAGTCATTTATTGCTTGGGTAAATTAAAGCCATAAGAGACTGGCCAGAGGATATTATCTAAAAATAATGAGTTCTTTCGGCTAAGGGAAGAGTATAGTAACCAAATCTCAGGCCAGAAATGGCATTGAAATCAAATAATCATATTTTTCTTAATAATAAGACCTTGAGGAATTCATTTAGTATCTGTAAGCCTATTTATTTTTTATCTTTAAGATAAGAGACAAAACTATACAACCCCAAGATCCCTGCACCTGAAAACTTCTGCAATATGAAGGCAAAATAACTCCCATAATTCTACCACTTAATAAAATTATGTTCACACTCAAGCGTTGTCTTATATTCCTTGCCCATATGTACACACTTGCTTACAAAAATACACAGATTTTTGGGGTGCTTGGGTGACTCGGGCTCAGGTCATGATCCCAGGGTCATGGGATCAAGCCCCAGAATGGATCCCAAAATTCTCTCTCTCTCTCCCTCTACCCCTGTCCCCTGCTTGCGTTCTCTCTTTCTCTAAAAATAATAATAATAATACACAGATTTTTTTAAGTAAGAGTTACACATATGCAGTCTTAGTCACCTAATATTTTAGGCAAATGAAATGAGGCAGAAGAAATGTGTATGATAAGTTTGTATCAATTTTTCCTTAGCTGGATAATTCTAGTTGATACAACTTCTAAGTTGTGATAAAACATATTAAATTTTCCAGGGTTACACAATGACTCACTAAAGTGTATAGTGTATTTATTTACGAATAAATTGATCTTTCTCATATACCTCCAGCTTTTGGTTAGCAAGGAAACCTAATATTTAATTATATTACCATAGCAAATTTAATCCATACAATACTTTAAACAGTTAATGTGAGTCCATGTTCAATATTATTTACACAGTTATTAAGTTAAATACTCAACTGTCAGATTTCTGGCCATCCCTTCTCCTTCTCACCAAGAGAGCATTTGGTGGAGAAGCATGTGTGTGTGTTTTATGAGATATCTTTATGAGAGTGATAGTGTCCTCAGATCATGAAGATACTTCCTCCATCCTTGCTCATCTTGGCTATGGAATGGTGGTTCCGGGCAACTTTGGACATGTAGCCTATGAGATGTAGATGTCCAGGATACGAGCATTTCTCAACATTAGCTGCCAAACCATGCAGCTGGTCAATTTATGATCCTTTTTCTGTCTCAGTTTGATCAGAGCCAAGTAACCTTCTATGATGGTTTAGCCTCATCTTTGTTCTCACTGGAGCTGAATAATCCCCCTAAATTCTAGGTCCCACACAATCCACCAGTATAGTCCACCTTATAGCTCTTGGCTACTAGAACAATCTGTCTCTGCCATGGTTATAAAACAACTGTATCTGTCAGCCTCCACAGCCCCGTTCTCAACTAGCATACAAGTTCCTCCATCAAGAACAGATAAGAAATTTGATCCAGATGAGAAATTTTCTCCATCAGGAGCAGATAAGTAGTCCATTAATCCTATTTAGGGATTGATATTAATTCAAGAGAGTAGTATTTTGATTTTCCTCTGCCCCATCTTGTTATATCCCTGAGTTCATTACAATGGGGCCATTTCCAAAGTTCAAACAGAAGATAGGAGCAAAAGCCACCCTATTTTCACTGTTCTCTCAGCATAGTTGAAAAAAAAATTTAATTAAAAAAAAAAAAAGAAAAAGAAAAAGAAAGCCTTCCCTCCAGATCTCAAACCAAGGGAAAGGTTAAATGAACTGTCTCATAACATATCTCTCCTAATTCTTTCTCCCTTCTTTCCATCATAATTCTTGGGGACCAGAGGCTGCTGCACTGGCTAGCCATCCTTCCTGACTGTTTGTGATGGATAGCTCTTCAATCACCTTGGTCATAAAGGGGTGGTAGTGCTGGGCATGAAACAAATTTGCAAAACATTCTTACTACACAAAATTTGGATTTAATGACTATTTTATTGTCATATATATCCTATTTTACAGGTCAGAGACTGAATATTGACTCATTCTTTCACTCTAATAATGTTAAATCCACCTGTACTGCCCACTGCCAGACCTTGGATGCCCAGTTTGATGGGAAGAAGACTCTGCACAGAGAGCTGGAAGAGTGAAAAGCATTTTAACATCTTTTAAAGATTACCACCAGTGCAAAGACAAAATGAAACCTACATTTTTAGGGGTGCCTGAGTGGCTCAGTCAGTTAAGCATCCAACTCTTGATTTCAGCTCAGGTCATGGTCTCATGGTTCATGAGATGGAGCCCTGTGTAGGTCTCTGTGCTGACAGTGTGGAGCCTGCTTGGGATTTTCTCTCCCTCTCTCTCTACCCCTCCTCAAAATAAATAAATAAACATTTACAAATGGCACATTTTTTAAAAAAAGACCTATATTTCATATAGCGTTCAACAAATGTAGACTCCAAATAATGATAGAATTTTCTCAGGAATTATCAAAGATTTTTGTCCTAATAATCCTATATGGACCGTTAATTAAGAAAATTTACAAAGGAAAACCTGTGCTTATTTTGCAGGGAACCAGAGAAGAAGGGTACACAGATCCTGCAATGGCTGCTCAGGATGCAATGGTAACTAGAACCAGATCTCAAAATGACTATGGAAAACCTTTGTTAAAATGTCTGAGGTGGTTGTGGTGCTATTTCCTAGCTGTATGATGTTTCAGGTCCTGTGGGAAGCCTGTCAACAGAAGACAGGGGAACACAAAACCATGCTGCAAATGATCCTGTGCAACAAAAGTTATCAACAACTATGGCTGGGTAATTGTTAATCAAGTTCCTTTTCAGCTACTTAACTGACTGTGTAATAAAAAGCAAGTTGTTAACTGGCAGAAAGAAAAGGGAAATGTTTCATATAGCTATGACAAAAGTGCTTATTTTGAATTATGTTTATACAGATTTGTCTCATCTAATGACATTACTAAGGAATTAAGTTCTCTTATAATTTTATTTTTTCTAATAACTGAATTATATAATCTTTAAGTACTGAATCTTTTAAAATAATCTCTGTTTTTGATGGAGAATTTACTCAAATACATTAGCTATTTCCTATTAGGCATTTTATGTGTTGTCCTGAAGAGACTATAGTGAACATAGTTTAGTCCATTACAAGTCAAGGTGATTATTATTAATGTCATGATCTATGCAAAGCTGCCATATGGGTCTTAAAGGTGCATTAATATTAGCTGGCACTTTATTTGACTTCTATACCTTTCTGTTCCTTTTATTTATTAATTTGTTTTCTACTTGTATAAAACACTCTGAAAATTTGTAAAAGACAGCCTACTCCAACTCAACCTGCACCTTTATATTTTATTTACTTTCACTATTTACAGCAATCTAATCAATATTTATGTTGTAAATTTATAATATGTATAAACTCTCCTTTGAATTTTATCAATTTGTTGAAGTTTTCCAGGAATTCCAAAATATTTCTGGGCAAGACCTAGTAGATGCCATTAATGAATGTTATGATGGATACTTCCAAGAGTTGCTAGTTGCAATTGGTAAGTAATAATTTATTTGGTGTACAGCAGACCTTTTATCCCAGAATAAATGCTAATTAGCTCTGATTGAATTAAAGATGCATGAATATGCTCTTCATTGAGTCACTTTCCCCTGAATTTAATTATTTAGTAAGGATGTTAATTCTATACACGAAAGGTACATTAGCTATTGACGCAATGCACTAACATGGCAAGTTGATAACTTAATGAACTAATACCCTTCCCTAGTAACTGGTTCAACTTTCATACTAGGAAACACCGAATTCTCAGATATTCTCTCAGGTAATTGGGATCTCACACCTTTCAATTCATTACTGACTTCATTCCCTTTTTAAGGAGCAGATAAATCCTAGCAATATGGCTTTCTTTTTTCCAAGAGGAAAATAAATTTTTGTCACTGTCTCTAATATTTTGCCTTTAGGGGTAAGTTCTACCATAAAAAAAAAAGATTTGGGGCACCTGGGTGGCGCAGTCGGTTGAGCGTCGGACTTCAGCCAGGTCACGATCTCGCGGTCCGGGAGTTCGGCCCCGCGTCGGGCTCTGGGCTGATGGCTCAGAGCCTGGAGCCTGTTTCCGATTCTGTGTCTCCCTCTCTCTCTCTGCCCCTCCCCCGTTCATGCTCTGTCTCTCTCTGTCCCAAAAATAAATAAACGTTGAAAAAAAAATTAAAAAAAAAAAAAAAAGATTTACCAAGTTGTTACTTAGTAGTGACTTCTGCAGGCTATTGTGAGAGAGACATACCTCCAGCTCTTTCCAAAGAAAAGATATCTTCCCACAGAGAGGTAAACAGTAGTAGCTGTTCCTAACAACTACTATTAAATTACCCATGTTGTACTTTGTGCTGTGTTGTGACTTGACAGCACACATTGCAGGACCTACAAATGGAGGGTGTTTGTAAGATATCCTCATAAAGAACACATCAAGTAATCACTTGTATTTGTTGAATAAATGGACAGTCTGATTTTCCATTCCTAGAACGGCACAGATATTCATGGGCATTGAAGATGATAGGTAACAGAATGTGTATAGCTTAGCTTGGAAAGGAGTTTGAAGCTAGGGTTCCATGAAAAGATTTGGTGGGTTCTATGAAATCCGTGAAATAGTATACAATATGTGAATATTTGTATGTGTTTCTGGGGATAGGGTGCTTTTATTTTGGCTAAGTCTCAACATAATTTAATTACCGTGTATCTTATTACAATTCATGTAACAAACAAGGCCCAAGGACATTAGTATGGTCTCAAAGTCTGCCAACTAATGAGCAACAAAGTTATGACTAGGACTTCAGGTCATCTGAGTTTCAGGATAGCTCTTTTTCCACTGTAGACCACACCACAAACACAGCAGTGAGTGAGAAGAAATACTGGACATGAGAAATACCAGAAAACAATGTAACTGATTCATTCATTTATTCAATAAACATTTATTGAGTTATCTACCATTCTGGCCATTGATTTAGGCACTGCAAATGGAACAGTGAAATAACAAAAGCCACAACAAAAGCCCCTGTCTTTAAAGTGCCCACATTCTAGCAGTGACTCGGGAGTGCTAAGAGGTTCACAGTTATAAAGATAAAAGATGAAGACATGGTCTCACAACCTAAAATTAGCATTTGAATTATAGAGAAAACACTGTTGTGATTATCTTATTTTGCCTAAAAGTTAAAGCCTCACAGACGTTACTTATTCATTAATTTATTCACTTATTCAAATAGACATTATTGACTGTCAATGATCATCAACTGACTTCTATCAAGGACAATTGTTCACTAGGCTCTTGGTGGTTCTAATGCCATAATGCTTTGATTAGATGACTCCTAACACTGGTATAGGTCCCTTATGGCCAATCCAGTTTTTCTTTAAGAGACTTCAGGCCTACTCACAGGTCTACCAAGGATTAAAAATAGTGTTTGGGAAGGGGCACCTGGGTAGCTCAGTTGGTTCAGCATCCCACTCTTGATTTCAGTGCAGATCATGATCTCAAGGTCGTAAGATTGAACCCTACATCAGGCTCTGTGCTAACAATGCAGAGCCTGCTTGGAATTCTCTCTCTCCCTCTCTCCCTGCCCCTCCCCTGCTCACTCTCTCCTCTCTCTCTCTCTCTCTCTCAAAACAAATAAATAAACATTAAAAAAATAGTGTTTGGGAAAATGAGCCAACTGCACATTGAATTATACAATAATAAAAATCTGTAATAGTGATCTATTTAATCTTCAAATAAGAGCACACATTTTTCTTCTCTAGGCTATGCAAAGGAACTACAGATCTCCAAGAGGTAGAGATAGACTAAATGAAAATCTGAATGAATCATTATAATATTGTTGCTTTATATTTTTCTATGTGTTATGGTTTTACCAGTATTCTAAATGTGGAAATTTTTACACATGCACATTGTACATGTGCAATGTACAATGAGGGATCCCACAGAGAACTCAAAAAGTATCACTCTTCCAGGATTTTAACAGAAAAAAAAAAAGAAGTATTCTCATTGTTTCCCAAATTCTGAAGAAAATACATACTGTCACTCTCAAACTTTCTTTTTTTCTCTCTGATTTTTTCTAGTTCTATGTGTTCGAGACAAACCAGCCTACTTTGCTTATAGGCTATATAATGCAATCCATGTAAGTATGACCCACATATTTTTTAAAATTTCTCCAGAAATCATGTTTACCTTCTCAAATCACTAACTAAAGCACATGGGGGAGATAGGCCCCAAGGAGTCATACTTCTCAGGTAACTCAATTTGTATAGAAAGCAGAGCATTATTTCTTTGGTGGGTCTCATTCTGGTGTATAATACATTTTTTCACTTGAGCATTTCTTGTTTGAAATGAATATATTTGCATACAGGTTCAAAAATAGAATTCAGTGTTTTAAGAAACACAAAATAATGTTAGTAATTATTTTTAAACATAAAGTGCTATCTTAAAAAACACTTAAAAAGAGATGGCTAGACAATAATAAACTCTAAATCTATTTTATAATTAAATGAGAATAGTTTTCATAGTTTAGTGTGATAGTCAATCACACATCTTTTGGTGCATTTGTTTTTAAAGAAACAAAAACTTAAATGCATGAGACAATGCACACTTTATTCATAACGTGTGTGGCCCATATTTTGAAAAAAAAAGTTCTGATACGAATCATTGCATATATATCATGGCTTCAAAAATTCAGTGAAAATTATTTTTTTAAGTCAGTAATACAACAATTTTAATAGTGTTTTATCACCAAAGTAATTGTTACAGACAAGTTCATTAAAAGTAGCTAGCATGTTGGGATAATATAATATTCAAGAATATTTCTATTATATATCTTGTGTAAAGAGTATTTTTTATTTACGTACAAGAACCTATGTATCCTCAGAACACAGAAGGAAGATTAATGTTCACGGCCTTCCCCTATTTTATTCTATTTCCAAGCAGAAAAAGTTGATTTGATTTTTAAAAAATTAAATAATGTATCAGGCAATGCTATTGAACAATTTCAATAGTGTCCTTCCCCAAAACCAGAATGAAGTTTCACTTGTGAATGACCATGGGAAAAGAAGCACAATTACTCTGATTCCAAATTTGCCCAAGAAGAGGGCTACTTATTCTAATAATGAATAAAAATCCTATTCCTTCTGTGTGTCTTTCAATGCAAAAATAAAGATATGTGTACTCACAACTGGTTTGGAGGTAAAGAAGAAGATTGTATATTCGAATAATTGAGTTGTTGATATATGATAACCTCGAATGTAAAATATTGGCCAAAGCTGTTTATATTACTGTTAATCAAAGAACATCTACAGAGATTTTTCTCCATTACACTCTAATGAATGATATACAACTGAAATATGGAAACTTGGGTAAAATCACTTAATTGAATCACATCAAATTATGAAAATTTGCTTGGCAGGTCTATTCCCAAAACATTCAGACTTTAAAAATTTTATTATGCTCAAAAAAATTATGCTCACTGGCCACTGGATGTCCCCATTACTCCATTTGAAAAGACAAATCGAAATTGGTTTGTCAAGCAATATTCCTTCTGGAGCTAGTATACAGAAGTTGATTTTTGTATTTTTCAGTATTTGAGTTAAATTCGGCAAATATTTCAAATATCTGGAATTTTTATTTTTACGATTTTTAATAATAGACTATAAAATAAAGATGCAATTGCTGTCTTACTCAGACATACCAATGTTCATCTAGCAGAATTCAAAACCCACCTGCCTCCCTGGCCTAGAAGAATTTTTACCTAGAAAGAGTACATGATCAGATTTGCATTTCATAATGCAGTGTGAGGGAGACAGTGTAAAAGTTGGCTGTTAAAGAAAGGAACTATTGCAGAATCAGGGTGAAATGATAAGGGCCAGCATCAAGGGAGGGGCAATGGAAATAGAAATCACAAGGCATTTAAGAAGCAAAATAGAAAGGGGTCCCAAGATGGTGATGTAGAAGACCCTGAACTCACCTCCTCCCACCAACACACCAAATCTCCACCTACACAGAGAGCAGTTCCTCTTGAAGAACTGAAAGCTGAACAGCTTCTGCACAACAAATGATAATGTTTCTCACAACATAAAGATGGGAGAGTTGGAAACATAGTAATCCTGACACAAAGACCTTAGTAGGAAGGGAAATCACTGAGGGGCCCATGCACAGACTGACCTGCCCTCGGCACAGTGAAGAAACAGCAGTTTGAAGGGCAACTAGACTATAAGTAAAGGAAATTCATTCATTAACCTTAAAGTAGTCACCAAATAGGCAAGGAACTGCTGGAACTCTCTGCAGGGTCAGAGGTGTGAACGAGCACCAGGTTTCATATTCCCCCTCCACCTTGACAACAGAGACATGAACAGGGTGCAGGTGCTCTACCCAGCCTGCTAGAGCTACCCAGCATGCCTTGGGCCTCTTACCCACACACCAGCTCCAGCAGTCCCACTGGAAGCAACACACAGATGGCCACCAGGCACATGAAAAGATGCTCAGTATTACTAATCATTAGGGAAATGCAAATCAAAATCACAAGGAGATATCACCTCACACCTGTCAAAAGACAAAAAATAACAAGTGATTGGCAAGGATGTAAAGAAAAGAGAATCCTCATGCGAGAATATACATATAGGAATGTATATTGGTGCGGCCAATGTGGAAAATAGTACGGAGTTTCCTCAAAAAATTAAAAATAGAACTACTATACAATCTAGCGATTCCATTTCTTAGTATTTATTCAAAAGAAAACAAAAACACCAATTTGAAGAGATATATGCAGCCCTATGTTCATTGTAATATTATGTACAATAGCCAAGAAACAACCTATGTGTCCATCAATAAAGAATGTGTCACACACACACACACACACACACAGACACACACACACACACACACACAAACACACACACACACTGGAATATTACTCAGCCATAAAAAAGAATGAAATCTTGCCATTTGCAACAACATGGGTGGACCTAGAGGGTATTATGCTAAATAAGTCAGACAGAGAAAGACAAATACAATATTATTTCATTTATGTGTAGAATCTAAAAAACAAGACAAATGAATAAACAAAACAGAAACAGACAGGTACAGGAAACAAACTTGGTCACAGAAGGAGAGGGGTGGGGGAATAGGCAAAATAGCTGAAGAGGATTAAGAGACACAAACTTCCAGTTATAAGATAAATAAATCATGGTGATGTAACACACAGCATAGGGAATATAGTCAGTAATATTGTAATAACTATATGGCAAAAAAGTGTATGGTAAAAAATTAGATTTGGGGGAATCATCTTGTAATGTATAAAATACTGAATCACTATGATGTACATCTGGAACCAATAGTATACTTCAACAAAATAAATTAGTAAAGCAAATGAAAGAAGTCAAATAGGTAGACTGCTTCACCTTACTGTGAATACACACAGTAAGAGAGAGGGAGAAGTCACAGAGGACACTGGGAGTATGACTCGGGCACTTCCCAGATCGCAATGCCAGTGTTCGAGGCTCACAGGAGGAATAAATAGTCACAGAAAAGAGGATGAGTCTATATTAGACAGATTAACTTTTACCATTTTCTAATTTTTTCCCTCCTTTTCTCTATCTTTTAGGACTTTGGTTTCCATAATAAAACCGTAATCAGGATTCTAATTGCCAGAAGTGAAATAGACCTGATGACCATCAGGAAACGATACAAAGAGAGATACGGAAAATCCCTATTTCATGACATTAAGGTAAATCTACACATGATTTATTTTGATCCATATTTTGTCCCTTTTGAAACTGAAATAAGAGCTTTAATATAAACACCTTTATGTTAGAATCTAAAAATTTAATAAGGCACATGGGTGGATCAGTTGGTTAAGTGTCTGATTTCAGCCCAGGTCATGATCTCATGGTTCCGGAGTTCGAGCCCTACGTAGGGCTCTCTGCCATCAGCACAGAGCCTGCTTTAGATCTTCTGTCTCCCTCTCTTTCTGCCCCTCCCCCCACTTGCACTTCTCTCTAAAAAATAAATAAATATTAAAAAAATAATAATAAAATAAATAGTTAACTATTCTAACAAAGATAATCTACTTTTGTACATCAGACAGCCTTTAGTGCACCGACAGGTGCTGAATGAGAAAATCCCTCTACCTCAGTAACAGAATTTATTTCTCTTTGATGTGTTTTGAACAAAAATTGTTGATAGAGTCAGGTAAAATATTCATCCCTACTTGTGTAATTGTGCTTTATCAGTTACTTTAGTTCAGGGCCCAAGTTGAGCAAGTGGTCTGACTTCCACAGGTTGGTCACGATTCAAGTGGAGCCTGGATCTGGCAGCCCCGCTAAGTGGTTCGTTGGCTGGGGTTCCCAGGCTGATAAACCAGGCCTGGACCTGAGCCAGTTCTCCCATTCTGTGTCTCCTCTTTCTCTGCCCTCCCAGTTCCTCCTCTCATGCTCTGTCTCTCTCTGTCCCAAAAATAAATAAAAAAAAAAAAAAAAAAAAACGTTGAAAAAAATTTTGAAGCATGATCAGTATCAGGAAAAATACATTTTACAAAAAGACCACACTAATTGTGAAGAGGTTTCTTAGGTCAATTCAGCTCTCTTCCCATATTGTTATAGAAGGCAGGGCGGACAGTCCAATCCCATAAACTGGTAATTTGGAGGAATTTAACATGGATAGTAACATAAAATTCTTTGTGTACACACCCATCTCTTTACCCCTTAAGGGGCAAAGCAGCAATGATTCAGAAGTGAACAAGTCCTTTTCTTCATTCTGATATGTCTAAACTTTAGTCTGGATTTTGATAAAACCTAGCAAAGAATTATTAGACTATATAGGGCTCTAGATAGGTAATTTGGGGCACCTAATCTACAATTCAAGTATCTGACTCCTCTTTCAAAAACTTATAAAGAATTTGAGGATGGCACCAGGAGAGCATTAAACCAGGCACAGGGCGCTGAGCATATATCTTCACTTCTACTTTGCACACAGCTAGATGTTGTTACTTATACACTTAAATGTTCAATTGCACAAAATAGCTTTTTAGTTTATTAAAAGAGTGATCCAGAAGCAACATAACAGCCCAAGGACCAAAGGACCACAAAAACCCAGATGGCCCTCTAGGCCTTTTGTGGCCAAATTGGTTTCCAAATGCAGGACTTGATGCAACAGTTAAGAGGAATTTTATTCCTTGGTTCTGATAAAACTCTCCTTGCCCCTACCTTCAATATCCTAAACTTTGAGAACTGCCTGTCCTAATACATTTTCTAAACAAATAAACTACTGCAATTAGCCACAGCCACCTCAAAGTCTGTTATTTACATATAATTAATGTAACACTACTACATGCACTTAAAGCAGTGAATTATTATTACATGACTTTGTGTGAGAGAATGTTAATATGATAGTTGATTTTTAACTTAGTTTTTATGATTCCATTTATTTATTGCTATTATTGTTTTGAAACACTTAGAAACTATAGAAGACCATAAAAAGAAGATAAAAATTGCCTTATTCTCTACCACAGATAACCAGTAATGAAATGTTGTAGGTTCTGTCTTTTTCAAAATATATGTAAACATTAATATGCTTTACTACATAAAGGAATACTTTCATTGAACTATGGTATCCCACTGTATAAGTTATAAAATACATAAACTACCCCACATTATTAAATATTGCTTTTTACTTTTTCACTATCATACATAAAGTTGTCTATATTTTCGAATGTAAATTTTTGTGTTCGTCAATAATTGATCATTATTTCCTTAGAATATATTTCTTGAAATGGAATTACTGCATTAATGAGTATAAACATTTTTAAGTCTTTGGAAACATATTGCCAGTTTACCCTCCAAGACTCTAAACTGATTTATAACAATAATATTAGGACACCTCTTCCTAAAGTTGAGGAGATTTAATTCTACTGTAAGTTATTCTTTTTATAAATACACATCAGGGTTAAATCAACTTTATAGAAACCCTGTTCTATTGCCTATAACCATGGTATTATTTTTCGATAACTTCCACTGGGAATAGTTCTCAGGACATATTAAATCTTTAGATGAAAAAAGACAACAATTTTGGAAACACTAATGGCCCATGGATCTTTCTGACTATAGTTCAGAGGAATGACGCTTCTTTTTTAGAAATACTAAGACATTTTCTTTCAAATACGTTGTTTGTTTGTTTGTTTTCAGAACTTTGCTTCCGGGCATTATGAGAAAGCTCTGCTTGCCATCTGTGCTGGTGATGCTGAAGATTACTAAATCAAGAGATGGATTTGCAGGACTGCACACTCCTCTCTACAGACTTGTCAAAATATAGAGTTTGTGATAAATTTGTATTGTTAGAAGCACTGTAGCAAAACTGTAGAATCATATTTTCTCTGCTATCTTTAAAATCATTCTGAGCCAAAGAAGAATCTATTGATAAAAGTATAGGAGGCTAGATTTGTACTTATTATCCAAATCAGTGATTTATTAAATTGTGTATAATGGAATAATAAAAAAATTTTTTCGTTGAAATATATTTTATTTAAATGTGAACTTTCAATTCCCTAGAGCAAGAGTCTGCTTACAACTGTCCTTTAGCATTCTTAGGGAAAAGAAAACACAGTGTGTGGCCATCCCCCTCAGAGAAATTTTCAAGACTTCTGTACAAATGCAATAAACCCAGAGTAAACAACTAAAGCTGCCTTTATGTAAAAGAAAATGAAGATATGAAACGGCAAAATGCAACCCGATAGATGTTTGTCAGGCTTAGATACGTAAGAGACTTGGATGTAAATTGGGTATATGCTTGTATGTGTGTGTGAGTACGTGTGTGTCTGTGTATTTGACAATCATTCTGGTAAAGGCAGTTTAGCTAATTTTTTTAGTATTAGTGCCTAAGAAACCTATTATTTGCCCATGCAATGTCAGAAAAGCCATTGCTCATTGTTTTTATCATCCCTTCTTCACATCTGCACCAAAGTCATTTGGAAGTTATGTGCTTTGTACCATCAGTAAAGCCTGGCCTCTCATGTGTCTGAAAACTCAGTAAATTCGGAGCAGCAAAGGAGAAATGCTCACTGAGATCACATCTGGGAGAGAATCTAGATTGATGCCACAATCTAGCCAAGAATAAAAGCAGAAACAGAGATGGGTGAGTCCATAACGGAGGGCTCCCGTTATACACAAGAGAAAACACAAATCCAAGATCACGGGAAGCTGCAGTTAATGAAGTCAAACAAGGAGAATGAGGACACATGCAATAAATCTAGATGAACTGGTGAAATTGATAGGAGTGCTTTACTCCACATGGAATTTTTTTTTGCAATACCCTGTAACCCAGTTCCTATATATCTGTCTCTACCAGTCTCAGGAGAAATGAAAAATGTTCTCAGAACCTGTTTTCTTACAAGCAAAATGATATAGGAAGTTTAGAACACAGTAATTGGGCACAACATAAAACATTTAAGAATAATTAGACTTCTGAAACCATTTTCAAGATTTAAACTTACTGCTACGGTGTATGACGTTATATCATTTTAAATTGGCTTTGATTTTTATCTTTAAAAAATATCATTAACATTTCCATCAAAGGTAGTAATTGTTTGAGACATTCAGTATAGCTATTCTTCCAGATAAAATGTTTTTCACATACAATTTTTAATAAGAAAAATGTTAGAATTCTTACTGAGAATTTAGATATTTAAATACAAATTTTCCTTGCTAGGATATATTTCTGTAAGTAGCTCAATAAATTGTGGAATTTACACTTCAGCTAGGTAATACCTTTTATTTCTCTAGTACAGCATTGTGTTGCCAAATCAAATACAAATCTAGACTTAGATAGGGAGGGATTTTATCAAAAGGACTAGTGCAATAATTGGAAAGAGGAGCTGCAGTAGGGAAAGAGACTGCAATAGAGAGAATGCTCTGACCACGAGATTTACAGGAGTCTCAAGGGTAGCCAGAAAAAGGATTTTTAATTTCTAAGGGTGAATAAACAAGGCTAGAAAGAATCAGGTATGGGGGGATGGGATGAATTTGTGGTGTGGCTGGACAATTCATTTGTGGTGTGGCTGGGAATGTCTTTGGTAACATTGCCCGTCATTGATCTGAGATTAGACAGTTGATTTGGAACAGTGAATGCTTCCAGTAAATTTTCAGCAGGAGACAAAGGGCGGATTAAAGTCAGGGACCTGTGGGAAGGCAGAAACCTGAGTAAAGTTTAGTCAAGTCAAGTTAGTATGTATCTTGTCCAGATTGGTCAGTAGAGGAAAACAGTTCAGTTAACCATTTATGAGGCAAGGAAAGGAATTTGATGGGTGGGTGGGTGTAGGATTGTTATAGGTAAACAGGAGGTCATCTGTAAGTCTTAGCTAAGTGGGATGAGGAAGAATGGTTCTATTAGAAAGCCATTTTCTGAAACTCAAAATGGTGGTAAAATTTCTTGACCATCTATTTTCCAGCATCCCAGTACTTAGGTAAAGATTAACATTGCTAATGTCTTTTTTGTCTTGATTGCTTCACTTAGTTGTTTACATGCCAAGATGACATTGTCATCTTCATCATCACATAATTCACTTAATGAAGTCCTATCAAAGAAATTGTTTAAATTATCATCATTGTTATTTGTGCTTAATGATGTTTAGCTGTTTATATCATCTTCTAATGCACAAAGGTTTACCTGATGGACTAAGTAACAAGTGAAAAATCTCTGGTTAAATTAAAAACATCTCCCATGTTTAACTTATAGGGGAAAAAAAGACAAACATTTAAAGGAATAAATTTGCTTTTCGTGTGTTACCCATCTACAGTAAAGGAAATAGTAAATTACCTGAATCACTGGCTATTCCAGAAAAAAATAAAACCAGATATGGAAAGACTGCAGAAAGGTATTTGTGTCCTTTGCATTCAGTATTTTACTATGCTTGGTTTAGGCCCAAATAGATCAAACATGTAAAGAGGCTAATCATTTGCTAAAAAAATAAAATGAGTGTTCTGATTTAGTAGCATACTATTATTATCAAAGTTAAATATTTCACGTATGTTAAAAACAATGCCAAATATGTGATGACACTGATAACAGCAGAGTAGGCTGCTCTAAGGGCCCATCCCTCCAAAGAAGCATCAAAAAAAATCATGCAAAAGCTGTCAGGATTAACTTTGTCAGAACTCTGGAAAATAGTAATTAACTCTGAATCAAGAAAACAGTCACACGAGGTAGGAAAGCTTTGTGACATTTTTATTTCTTCTTTTCCCATCTTCCTCCCAACTCAATGGCAGTTGTGAAGACACCAGCCACTGTGGACCTCTGCGGAGCATATCTGGCTTATTAACACAGAATATGTGTAACTCTGTCTGGGAGCTCACTAAAGGACCAAGGTGAGGCACTTGTCTTTGTTTTGTCCAAACCAGACCTCACTCGGGGAGGAAAAATCGTTAAGACAAATGAACCACTTGCAGCTGCCTAGGGCAAAAGATTACAATTGAGGCAGTACAACTGAGTGATGAAAGCCTGTGAAGAAAATATGGGAAATCTATATATTCCCCCTATATATGGGGATTTATAAAGTCATGCACATGCCTGAGGCAGGACACACACTGAAAAGACTTGAGAAAACTCTAAGCTGTCAACTTATTGGTCTCAAGGATTAGTCCAAGCAGAAAGTGAAGGGCAATGCAGAGTTCTAAATGGTCTAAGTGTTGAAAGGCATATCTCAGCATACAGCCAATCTACAAAATATGGGAGAAATTTTTTTCTTAATTCCTCCTTCTCCTCCTTCTCCTCCACCTCCTCCTCCTCTTCACTCTTTCTTGTCCATTCTTGTGTTCAAAGAAATCTCTGTCAAAACAGTGACTAAAGAAACAAAGACTTCAGAGACCACACATGATGAAGAATAGAGACATTATAAAAAGTGTTTAGGAAAGTCACTAAACAAAGCTACAGCTACTGTGAACAGATGGAAACAAAAACAAACACTTAAGAAGAAAAAAAAAAATTCTAGAATTACCATGTCATAGTATCCAAAACATACAGTTCTCAAAAAACATGAAAAAAAACATTAAAATATACTCATTAATGGATAAAATTACTAGAAACTATCCTTAAGAAACAAACAACACAAAGGCATAACACTTATAAAAAACAAGTACCGGGGCACCTGGGTGGCTCCGTCAGTTAAGTGTCCGGCTTTGGCTCAGGTCATGATCTCGTGGTCCATGAGTTAGAGACCCCCATCCGGCTCTGTGCTGACAGCTCAGAGCCTGGACACTGCTTTGGATTCTGTCTCCCTCTCTCTTTGCCCCCCCCCCCCACTCATGCTCTGTCCCTCTCTGTCTCAAAAATGAATAAACATTAACAAAAAAAAATTTTTAAAAACAAGTACCAAAATGAGAAAAGTAAGTTCTTCATTATCAGTAATTATTTTAAATGTAAAATGGATTAAATGTAAGTGGATCAAAAAATAAAGATTGGCAGAATGGATTAAAAAAAAAAAAAAAAAAAAAAAACCATGATTTAACTATATACTGTCTGTAAGAGACTCCCTTTAGATCCAAAGACCCAAAGATGTTAAAAGTGAAACGATAGAAAAAGATATTCCATACAAATAGCAAAAAAAAAAAAAAAAAGAGAGAGAGAGAGAGCTGAGTAGCTTTTACTAATATGAGGCAACATACACTTTAACTCAAAAACTGTTACAAGAAATAAAAAAGACATTATATACTCAGAAAAGGTTTAATTCATCTAAAAGATATAACAATTAAAAATATGTAAACCCCAAACAAAAGAGCCCTCAAATGTATGAAATGAACACTAACAAAATGGAAGGGCACAGAACTGACAGTTCTAAAATAGTAGTTGATGATTCAATACCCTACTTCCAATAATAGATAGAACTTCTGGACAGAAGATCAATAAGGAAATAACTAACTTAACACCATACTCCAATTAGACCTAATGAACATATTTAGAAGACTATACCCAACAACAGCAGAACATACATTCTTCTCACGTACATATCAAACATTATCCAGAAGAGACCATATGCTGGTCTACAAAACAAGTTTCAATATACTGAAAAATACTGAAGTCATAGAAAGTATCTTTTCAGTCATAGAAAGTATCTTCATTTTTAACAGAGTGAAGTTAAAAATCATTAACAAATATATGGAAATTAAACAAATTAACAATTAACAAATATATGGAGATTAAACAAATATATGGAAATTAACAAATATATGGAAATTAAACAGCACACACAATGAGTCAGAGAAAA